CATACATGGTGGGTGCTGGTTTTTGAGATACGTTTGAATTCGCAGGATACCATGATGATGGGTGCAGATTACTATCAGACTGAAGCTGAAATCGCATCTCTTCTGGCACAAGGGAAGGTTCCTATTGGGGTCGGACAAAATACTAAAATCAGGTAATGTTTCATTATTTGAATAGGCGTGTCTACAGGAAGTTTTGAGTCGACAGCTTGTTCATAGAATACTTCTTAATCCTTTCACTGACAATTTCCCTTTCTTCTCCTTTTTCAAGCAACTGCATAATTGACAAGAATGCCCGGATAGGAAAAAATGTGGTTATTCACAACACCGATGCAAGTATCACCCTTTGCAATTTTGATACTTCAATTCCATCTGGATTTATGAAAATATGTGATCCTTCCATTTACAGGGCGTTCAAGAAGCAGATAGACCGGAAGAAGGATTCTACATCAGGTTGGGGATAACAGTCATACTGAAAAACGCGACAATCAAAGATGGAACCGTCGTTTGAGAAGAAAACAAAGAAGTCCGGCGGAGTCTCAGACGTCATAGCACTTGTGATTCAGAACAAAGCTGGCTAAATCTGTACACAACTTTGCTGCTTTTGCGGCTTTTCCGTGCCCAGAGAAACTAGATCCTGCGCTACTGGGTTGCGAAGTAGTTGTCAGTTATGTAACTAAGCAGTTGAGATGCATATAACATGAGTAGCTACTAAGATGCATATTCTGAACAAGAGAAGATGTTGCATGGGGTGTACTGGGATGTACATATTATATGTAGAGAGACTTTGGACCACATGAAAATGAGACTATTATAACACTCGGCATGAATGCAGCTCCCTCTCCCCTAGTCCTTATCGTTTCTCATGGCCTTCTATTCTGGTGATCGTCGCACCATTTAAGCTGACGAAATTAGCAGATTTGGCAAGATAAAACGACAGTTCCCTGTCCCATTCTTTATTAATTGGTTTTGCTGTTCATTTCAGTCTCTTTGTTCCACCTTTTGTTGTCGGCGGAAATCACAACTTTTACGGGTGAATTTCCTAAAAACCCCCCAACTTTTGATCAAGTCTTTAATCTGTCATGAACTTTTTTCTGTCTTAGAAAAAACCTCAAATTTTAGGTTTAGTCCCAAATCTGCCCCGAACTTTTTTTTTTCTTAGAAAAAATCTCAAACTTTAAGTTCAGTCTCAAATCTGCCCAGATTTTGTTTTGTGTAAAAAAATCAGTAAATTTCAATTTATTTTCAAAAATATAGCCCGTGATCCAGTCTCAACTTAACGTGGCACTTCTACGTTGATAAAAAATCCAAATTAGCAAAGTAATGGGGCGATAGGTACAGACCGACGTTGCATTTTTACTTCGATAACAAATCCAATCCAATAAAAATTGTTGAAATTCTCCAAAATAAAACCATTCTAGGATATGAAAGTTAGGGATGATAACAAATCTACCCCAGAAACTTTTTTTAATCTAAAAAAAAAACCTAATTTTTAGGTTCAGTCCAAATTTGCTCCAAACTTTTCTTTGTCTAAAAAAAGGCCACATTACTTTGTTGACGTGGATTTGTTATCGACGTGGAAGTGCCACGTCGAGTTGGGCCCGGATCACGGGGATATATTTTTGAAAATAAATTGAATTTTGGTGATTTTTTTACACAAAACAAAATTCGGGGCAGATTTGGAGCCGGATCTAAAGTTTGGGGTTTTTTCCGAGACAAAACAAAATTCGGGGCAGATTTGGGACTTGACCTAAAGTTGGGGGGTTTTTTTAGGGAATCAGGCCCGACTTTTACAAAAATACAGAGAAACAAGAGATTGATGAACCGTAGAGATTTCCAGGGCACCCTTGTTGCTCCTAGGTCTCCGCCTACAAAATACCCTCCATTGAATCTTCTCAGTCACTGCCAATCTAATCATTTTTTTGCAGCTTAAGCCTAAGCAGATTGGACAAACTAAATGTCCCGAGTTCGAGACATGGAGATGTCTTAGCTATCTGTGAAAGCTGCTAGTCAGGGTGGCTGGGAGATTTTCTAGTTTGGTGAACTCGCTTAGCACAGGAAGGTGTCACGCTCCCAGTTGACGATTGATATCGTTGACCACGTGGGCCTCTGGTCTTTAGAGGCCAAATTCCACCTGCCCATATTTAATGAGGAAGACTTTTAAGTTTAGAATAGACTGCCCATATTTAATGAGGAAGACTCTGAAGTTTAGAGTACACTACAAGCGTCCAATTTCTAGAATCAATAGTGTGGGGGTGTGTAACTGTTGGGTCCAGACTTATTAGTAATTTCAGCTATGATACCAATGTTGGACGGTCTTGCTCGTCTGTCTCTCACCTTAAAAGCTAGCTTAATGGGTGAATTTTTCCTCATACTTATAAACTAACTACTAGTCCCTTCCGCAATAGGACTTGAATAGCAATAAGAATTTTCTTGGATTACCAGGTGGGGGATGATGGGTTAGGTGATCTGAGCGCCATCGCGTGATGTCTTGAAGAACAGGCATTATACGAATAATAACTAGATCTGGTGATGCCTGGCGAGGTCGTCCTGGCCTGGGCTAGGGTCGACCTGCTAGATTTGGCGAGGGGTACCTCGCCGGCATTGCCCTCACTTAGGCTCGGCCCGGCGATGCCAACCCTTGCTTGTTGAAGATACAAATGGGTACAGTAAATATCTCTATACGAAAATTAGAGATCCCGTATTGATTTAGCGATGGATATTCAATCTCGCGACGTTCCACCTACCCCTACCAAATAAGGAAGACTTTAGATTACAATTGTCCAATTTTGGGAAAAGTACCAAAAAAATCATAAATCTATTGTATTAGTACAAATTCGGTCCTGAATCTATCAATTGAACCAATTTAGTCATAAAACCTTTCAATTGGTACAAATGTGAAAATATTGAGCAGTATATTGGTTCAATTGAAAGGTTTACAACTGATTTGGTACCAATTCAGTAAGATGAGTACTTTTTTGGTACTTTTCCCGTCCAACTTCCAATTTGCATCCAAGAATATACCGAAGCACACAAACAGATCCCTAAGTACCGAAATCGTTATACAGAGTGATTTCGCGAAAACTCACGTAGAAATGTCTTTTCATAACCTCCGAGGACATTTGCTATAAGAGCTCTCTTCTGTCGATCAGTCAACGTGAAGTGCGGGCACGAACAGCAATAGGGATTTTCTTGGATTATCAAGGTGGGGATGAGGGGAACGAGAGGGTAGGTGATCTTTGTCTGGGCCCATCGCGTGATGTCCTTGAAGAAACCTAACCATTTCCATAACCCAAGAAGACCAGACACCCCAAAAAGAGTCGAGACCAAACCCCAAATTTGGTAGGCACGTTTTGCTCCAAATCCAACCCCAATAGAGAGAGACACAGAGAGAGAGAGAGAGAGAGAGAGAGAAGAGTTCTTTGATTTGATGAGAAGGTTTGAAACTTAGGCCGGCTGGTGAAGATTTTCTGGTCTTGAGTGGTGCTGGCTGTTAGGTTCTGCAAAGAAAGAATTTGTATTGTTTGTCCCACCTCTTATTGCATTGGGAACTGTAACCCTAAGCACCATATTTCTTCAGGAGCTCCACTTGAGGATGGGGAGCTCAGGCTGCTGGTTGTGTGAAAACCTTTCTAATTTTGAAGGGGGTCGTTAGGGTTTTTTTGCCTTCAGTATTAGCTACCTATAGTTTTGTGAGAGTTAGTTTTCTTTATGCGCTCTAATATTCATAATTGCTGCCTCGCCCGTTGCTCGAGGCCTACATTCAGATCACGAGGTTCGTTCTTTACTTTCGGGGGCGCCCTTGTATGGGTCTGAACTATTTCGTGTTAAGGGTGTGAAAGTGAGGGACAAATACCGTACCCGATGGGGATTATTGAGATACTATATTATAGTAAATCTCTTGCACTGTGAGAAATCTATAAACCCGACACTTAGAAACGACAAAAAAAAAAATTGAAAATTATTTCTATTTTTTAAGGGCTTTCCTCCCTTTTTTTTTTCCTTTGAAGCGTTTTAGCCATGGAGATTCCCGTGGACCATCCCTTATTGGGGTCCCAAATTAGTGGGGCTATTCTTAAGTTCATCGGATCAAAAGTGAACGAAACTTAGAAATGTGGGTGTCGCTAACGACCGTTCCAAGAGCATTCTGTCAAGTATGCTAAGCTTTTAAGGCATCCATCGTGCATAACACGAGGACAATCGGCGTATTGAAAACGGTAAAATTTTCTTAATCAGTTGGTTAACGAGTGTCCAATCCCGATAATATTAGCAGAGCCCGAGACCACGATCCCTTTTTCCACTGGTGCCTGATCTACTGATCAATGTGCTCCATATCTTTGTACGTGCATGGATTCTTCTCTTGAAAGCCTTTATGGATTCAGATCAAGGGGCCTCAAGGACGGTAAAATCCTGCACGTCACGAATGGTAAATTTTCGTTGGCTGTTTAGTCTGCTCTATACAACACTCTTTAGCCAGATCCAACTAAAATTACACGAGACTTGATATGTCCATGCATACCCTCCATCTATATGGCCCCGCCTCGTCCATATGTTCTTCCGCAAGACATCTCTAAACTCGATAACCAAAGTCTGTCAGGCTAGTGTCGGTAAAGATTGATTCACGAAATCGATCCGAACAACAACGTAGCGGATCCGCATCGGTTAATCTTCGCTCCCCCGAAACCCATCCGGACATTCAGTTCGCCGATTCCGTCGAACTAAATTCCGAACTGAATTCCAGTACCACGATCTGCAAAAAGCGTTGTTTCGCTGACGTGGCGGTCCAACGTTAGATTGTCCCAAAAGGGAACTTGCGGGGTTTAGGAAGTGGGTGGGGTCCGAGCTGCCAACTACCACGCACGTGACAAAACCGTCGGGTGGTCACGCGAGGGCGGGGGGGGGGGAGGGTGTTTGAGCGGTAGGTCATCAGTTCACTTCACTGGGCCCGCTTTAATTTTAGTCCAGGATGCTTTATATATCAGCTGAAAATTATCACCTAGCAAAATCAGAAAGAAGACAACACAAAGAAAAACCAATTTCACCTTCAATTAAAGTAGGAGGAGGAGGAGGATCAGCAGACTAACTATGAGACCGGAATCCCAAGTCGTGTGCGTCACCGGCGCCTCCGGGTTCATCGGCTCGTGGCTCGTCATGAGGCTGCTCGAGCGCGGCTACACCGTCCGTGCCACCGTCCGCGACCCCAGTGAGTATCTTCGACCGATAGTTTTGAGTGTTGCCGAATTTAGCACGGGCCGATGATGTTTTTTCAATGGAGGGGTGAAGGGTGTTCTGTTTTCTACTGCGTGTTCGATGATGTTGACTTTCGGGTGCCTTTGGTGGTGTTGTTGACACAGATAACATGAAGAAGGTGAAGCACCTGCTGGACCTGCCCCAGGCCAAAACGCACTTGACGCTGTGGAAGGCCGACCTCGCCGACACGGGGAGCTTCGACGAGCCCATCCATGGCTGCACCGGCGTGTTCCATGTGGCCACGCCCATGGATTTCGAGTCCAAGGATCCTGAGGTTCGTAATTTCGCTCCTACTTCTCGGATATTCGATCTTACAAACGCATGCGCGCGCGTGCTCGAGCTTCCGTTCCCCTGCTTTTTCCCTTCGGTTTCGGTTTTTTTCCCCGGTGGCCGGAGCTTGCGAGCCGTAGCCGCCCGCGGGCAAGTTAGGGTAGAGGAAGGAGGGGTCAAAATGGCAAGAATAGGAAGAGTGATTGTCTTGTTTGCTTGCTTGCTTTGTGTTCATCGTGGATTTTAAATGTATTATACGCAGTTCTCGTCAAGCAAGTCTCATTCGTATAGACTTGTCTTACATGAATGTCAGATGATGCAATGCAATTGAATTTAGGAAATAAACAGAAAGATGTGCATCCAATCAGCTTGTGTTCGAAGTGTCTTCTTTACTTTTCCTTCGCATATTTTCAACATTCAATTTAATATGGAATCTAGTGAAAGGGGGGCCAATCCGAATTGTAAAAGTCTTAACACGGAAAAGATCTACCCAAGTGATCAAAGAACTGAGCTGTGCTTGGGACTTTCCTAATTTCTCTCCTTTCCCCCCAGAATGAGGTGATAAAACCGACGGTGGAGGGAGTTCTGAGCATCATGAGAGCATGCGCCAAGGCGAAGACCGTCCGGCGGCTCGTGTTCACCTCCTCGGCCGGGACCCTCGACGTCCAGGAACACCGGAAGCCCGTCTACTACGACGACGACTGGAGCGACATGGACTTCGTGCTCGCCAAGAAGATGACCGGATGGGTCGGTAAACCCGCGCCGTCCCGTTCTTTCCCCTTCCGATTGCCGATCTCTTCCCTGTTATCATCGTTTTCCTAAGTTGATTAGGGCTCATGAGGGTTGTTTCGTGCTGGTCCCGCAGATGTATTTTGTATCGAAGACGTTGGCAGAGAAAGCAGCTTGGAAATTTGCGGAAGAGAACAACATGGACCTGATCAGCATCATCCCAAGTCTTGTTGTGGGCCCCTTCATCATGCCTTCGATGCCACCTAGTCTGATCACTGGCCTATCGCCAATCACGAGTAAGGTCCCTTCTTTTCCTTTCAATTTGATCATTGGGAGTTGAGTAGTAATCAGAACTCCCACATCAAAACTCAAAGACTTATGCAAACACTGATGGGACACAAAATTTGTAAATTCATGAGACAAAATGGAAGATATCAGGTTACAAATTCCAACTCTATGAGGTCAGGTGAAAGAAAGACTTTCGCGAAATTTCATGAAATGCCCGACTTTCAGTGTCCACGAAAATATTTAGATATAAATTGTTGCCGATAATGAAAACGTCTTTCATTGACTAATTATTTTGAGCGATACAAGCGATTATTTTTAGGAAAATATTATCCAAATCATTCATTTTCTGCGAAACAAGCGGAGCCTTAAGCTGTCGGATTGAAATCTGGTCTTACTTTTGAGCCAAGCCCAGCCTAAGTGAGAATAGACCTTTTATGGGGTAACAGCCCAAGATTTACCTCAAACCCATGTAGCTTTCACGGTGTGAAACATCATCATGGCATTGTACGCCAGACGCATTCTTCCTTTGTGATCATTTTGCAACAATGTTTCACTCGTGACCCAGGAAATGAAGCTCATTACTCCATCATGAAGCAAGGTCACTTTGTCCACACCGACGATCTCTGCGAATCCCACATCTTCCTATTCGAGCACCCGGAAGCCAAGGGACGGTACATCTGCTCCTCCCACGACGCCACGATCCTCGACATCGCGAATTTGCTCAGGAAGAAGTACCCGGAATACGATATCCCCACGGAGTACGTAATCGCATCTGGGAATAGGACTAGTCCCGGCTAGGGCATTGGGCATCGGATAATGATAATGGTAAATGGTTTTGCAGGTTCGAGGGAGTGGATGAGGGGATGCAGCACGTTTCTTTCTCCACCAAGAAGCTGTTGGACTTGGGGTTCAAGTACAAGTACACCTTAGAGGACATATTCGTGGGAGCTGTGGAGACATGCAGAGAGAAAGGGCTGCTTCCTCTCGCGCACGAGAAGAAGCACGCGAACGGCACGTGCTGAGACGCAACCCTGTCTGCGCCCCCAGCCGCCACAATCGTCTTTTTTCTCCGTCGCTGTTCTCGTGTTATGCGTAATCGATATAATGAATTGGATCTTTATCCCTACTTTTAATTTCCACATGCCATTCACTCAATTGTCATAAATTCAAAGAGTTATACTGAGGAGAGAATGCACCTTGTGCTGCTGATTTCAAGAACACGGTGATAACGAATGAAGGCCTGTTTGATTGGATTTGCCCATAGTTCTTTTTCTTCATGGGAACCGTGACAGCAGAAATTCTTAGCGAGCCGTTGTACGTTCAGAAATGAAATAGACTTTAATTGTTGAATAAGCTTTACGTTGTTCTGCATGAAAGGAAGAAATGCAGGAGGCCACATGGAACTTTATGCTTGCTTAGGCCATGAACCGGTTGACTAATTTAGCCGAATTTGGAAAATAAGTAAGGAAAAAGAAAGAAACCGAAAAAGAACGATGGGGTTTTGGTTCACGCACGTTCCGAAGGTCTCGACAAATCGGATTAACAACGTTTCGGAGCACTCAGATTTTGAAACTTTCCAAGCTACGTCTTGACTTTTGGTTAGTCGTGAGTAATGCTTATCTCATTTTGTAAACTCATGTCGTGGAATTAATATGAATTAGATATATTATGAGTAATGAAAAGCATTGCACGATATGATTTTGTTAAAAAGATAAAAGCGGTGTTTAGAGCATATTTATTACATAAAGTCAGATAGGACATGTATTACTTATTTGAAATGGGAAAGTATCTTCTAATAGTTGGAGTTTATTGTTTTGTGAATGGTTTGAGGAATATTTTATGAATAGAATTGCGAAAGATTATATGCGTTGATTCATGAATTTGATTTATGAAATGTATTATGCTTGATGAATTGAATTGTGAAAGGTTGTATGTTTTGGTTAGTGAACCTGATTTATGAAATGAATTGTGGATCTGATTTTGTGGGTTATTAGGGGATGAGTTAATGATTTTATTGTCATTGCCATTATGTTTAGAATTCATTGAGAGGTTGTGAGAATGTATACTGCTTTTAGGATATCCTTATGGGCCGAGCCACCGGCTGGTATAGGTGGAATCCTAGCCAAGGAAGATCTCGGTAGCTTTTGTCATAGTTGGATATTAAGCATCACATTGATCAATGGGATGGATCATTAATCTTTGATTTGATATTATTGATTGAATGAGTATTTATGATATGTAGAGAAGTTTGTTTAAATGATATAACTCAATTTTGGTATTGTACGTATATAATATACTGAATTTGGGTAAATGAGTTTATGGTATTGTTTTATAAATATGTATAGTAAATGTTCAATCTACTTAAAAGAGACATGTTTTATTTACCGAGCAATGATTGCTCACTTCATTCGTCTCAAATCATTTTCAAGTTCTTTAGCTAGAGGTAAGTAGGACGAAAACACTATTGACAGGAAATTTTTTATATTTAGAGATTTTTTTGGTAGAGTTTAAATAGTTGTATATATGTCCGAGATGAAATTTGTCGGGTTTAGTACTTGAGTTTAGTGATGTATATGTTCTTTTGGTAAATTTTAGAATTCTGTTATGTAATCAACTCACTATTTTATCATATATATCAATAGATATATATTTTGCTGACATGTTTATATTGATTTGTATTTGAGGATGTGTCCATGCCAATGTCAGTAACGAGAAATATTCCATCAAATTAATCCTTAGCTCCATATATGATGTGTAGAGTCATGTTGAAGTGGCTGTACATTTTCAACTGCAACATTTCAATGTCAATTTTGACTTTTAAAATTAGGACTAGTGACGATAAAGACTTAATGTTCATCACCTCAATCTTTAGAAACAGCCAGACATTCGAAAAGAATGGCTCAGAAATTTTCTACCCATATTATTTCAGAGCATAAATTACAGGTTAGTTTGCTCACAAGAGAAAAAAAAACAAGGAAGAGCATTTTTGGGGTTCAAACAGATCTCATCTTTCTTCGGCACTGCTGAACTTGTTCCACGCTTCCTGGAATAACATAATCGACAATGAAAATATCCTCGTCACAAAGTGTAAAACTAAAACCAGATTTTGCTTTTACGTTAAGTTGCTAAGTTGTCGCGATGAAAGATGAGAGTTTATCTCGACTATTGTGATGGAAGTGATGAAAGCTCAAGATTGTAACGGCAACAGACCTTTAAGAGATCGAAAACTTTTTCGCAAATGTACTTCTGCTGCAAGCTAGCACCTCGTTGCTGCAGTTTGTCTGGATGGACACAAAGGGTGGCTTTCCGGTATGCTTTCTTTACAGCAGCCGTAGTTACAATTTCCGTCAACGGAACAGGCTGCCAACCGCTATCAGGCCCTAATATCTACAATTGAGGACAAAAGATCATTGAGATGCGTGGCTGTATTAACCGAACTGTAAACTGAACATCTCCATCTGTTTCTGGCTAAGAAGCAAAAGGTGCATAGTGCATAAGAGGTGAATTCACAAGTGGCTTCTCAGGGATAGTAAAGAAAAATGCTGTAAAGAGGGATCTTGAGTACTGGCATAAATAGGGTGGAACCTCTTGAGGGCTAAAAGTCAAAGTTGCGCTATTTAATCATGGCAATACCCTGTTGGGAATTTTTTTCTTTTTGCTAGTTTACTTTCAAGAGAAGTCACTGGTCTGTAATATCAGATCTAAAGCAAAGCCATCAAATGAGGGTATCTAGGCACACCCTTCGATTTAAGCAAGTAAATTTTTTAATAGGCTAGGCAATTAAGTTTATCTATCAAATGAAGTGTAGAGAGAGAGAGAGAGAGAGAGTAGAAATTAGCCCGTACATATTGTAGCGTTGACAGCAGAGCACGCAAGTTTCCGTGCTTCCCACTTGACCACCTTTTAATATCAGCATCAAGAGATTCCGCTAACCTCTGCCGTAGAAGCCAAAGAAAATAAGACAAATTTTTTTTTCACCAAGAATATCTCTGTCCTCTTGGCTAAAGGACCGAAAAATTATCGAACTAAGTCGAAAAGACTTACATTTCTCTCTGCTTGCTCTCTCTGAGCAAGAAGATCACGCTTGCTCTTCTCTGCAAGAGCCTTTGCCTGAGAGGAGAGAGCACGATATTAAGCTCATCACATGTCAGAAAATCTATTTATGTTAAAAGCATAAAGAAAAGCAGGAGCCATACCGCACGTTCTGATGTTCTTTGATACCTATCCAATCTAGCTTTACGCCTCTGAGCTGATTCGCTATTTGTCCCTTCAGATTTCTCACCCGAGCCAGTACCTTCACGAGACATGGGAAAGTGCCAAGAGTTACTAAGCAGGACTCGAACGATTCATCTCTATTTGAAAGGTAACATAAGAAATAGCATGAATACATTTCCTCTAGTGAAATGTCAACTAGGAGTTTCATCTAGGGTTCGCCCATTTCCTTTGCTTGGCCACATATTTTACAACATACGGTAACCCGCATGCGCGCAGATGCACGTGAGTGGGTGTCATCAAAGGTAGTGAAATTCTTTAAGACATACCATTAGTATCTGAAGACTTTGGATGTCTTGAATCACTAGAAGGGCATGAGCCTCTATGTTGTGGATCCTACAATGATAGTAAGATGAGCTCCTCCACCATGTATCATATCCCACAAAGGAGAGAATAGAGCATCATAAATGGAAAATACTTACATGTGATGATCTCTGTCCAAGTTTGCGATCTTTGCCAGCACCAGACAACTTTTCAGCCAATGCCTTTTCAAGGGCACGCTCCCGTGCTTCTGCAGTTGCTCTTTCTACTGCAGCACGTTCAGCTTTAAGTCTGGCCTCTATAGAATTCTTTTCAGTTAATTTACTATTTGTTTCTGAAGAAGCCTTCCCTGTCTTCTCCCGAGCTTGTTCCATTACTCGCTGTCGGGCTTCAATGGTTGCTTTTCCCACAGCAGCCCTTTCCCGCGCCTCAGCATAAGCCCTTTCACGTGCTTCACGTATTGCTCTTTCGACTGCTAATCTTTCCTTTTCGCGTGCCCTTTCCCTCTCTTTTGCTTCATCTATTTTCTTAAGGAATTCTTTGTCCACCCCTATTTCCTTTTGTTGACAATCTTCAGATATCCTCTCGTCCATTGTCAGGGTTGTGTAATGATTCTCCTCGATTTTTTCTGTACTTTGACTAGTTTCAATACTTTGATGTGCGTCCTGAGTTCTCTCTTTCCGTTCGATGGTACCATTAATCTGCTCAGGTTGCAGAGTCATTTCATCATCAAAACTTCCACCTTCATCAGAAGATCCTACATCACTATTCACTTCTTCAGATTTAGAGGATTCGGTCTCTTCTTTCCAGTTCATGGAAATTTCAGCCTCATTCAGATCATTAATGTAGTTATTCAATTCAGGAGCCAATCCTTGCAAAGGCACTTCCGAATTTGGAATCGTACCGGATTCTGGTATGTCTTGTTCATTTTGTTTCCCTCCACTACTAATCCCTGTATCGCTCAAGTTCACGTAATTCTCCCTAAATTCAAGGGTCGCGGTGGCTTCACCTACCTCCTGATTGATTTCATTGGCTTTCAACATGAAGCAGGTCATATCACTTGTTTCAACTTTACATCTTTTCTCCAAGTCATAATCATCTGTAGAGGCTCCTGAGCTGCGGTCATTTTCTTCCTCTCGAACAGAAGAGTTCGTTTCCACCATCTCTTCATCCCCTTCATTTTCCTTTTCATCCATTAGTACATCAATATTTTCATTGGACTCATTGGGTTCATCGCCTTCTTGAGTCCCGGTAAACCCCTCACATGCCTCCCTGTCACATGTACAAATTGCATTATCATCACTATTCTGAGTTTCATGACTTTCTTCTACTTCATCTTCCACTCCCATTCCAATGATTTCCTCGATTCTATCAGTCTCTATGCTATTTAAAGCTTCTTGCTCTCCAGCATCAGCACTCATCTGCTTAGTATCCTCGTGTATCTCTTCATTCACGTTTGCTCGTGCAATCTCATGAATGTCTCCCGCTTCATTTTCTTCTTCAAGTCCTTTGTCTTCCGTGGATTCAACCAAATCATTAGGTCTCTCCTTCAATCTTTCCTGCTGATGGAGTGTCTCCAGCCTTTCTTCACTATCTGATTCCATGCCAAAGTTGTCATGCTCATCATCATTTTCTTTAGGGTTGCAAGTCTCCTCTCGCTCTCTCTCAACTACCGACCTCTCACAAGAATCTTGCAGTGCCTCATCTTCTTCTTGGCTACTCATCTCT